GGAGTACAAGACCCAGATGCTCAGTAATGGGGTACAGGACCCAGACACTCAGTAATGAGGGACAGGCCCCAGATGCTCAGACTAATGGGGTACAGGACCTGACACTCCGACTAAGGGGGTCTGGGACCCACAAGACCCAGATGCTCAGACTAAGGGGGCACAGGCCCCAGACACTGAGCAATGGGGCACAGGCCCTAGCCGTGTTGGGGTGGCTCAGCTCTTGGGCAGCACAGGTTGGGTGTGCCAGACACCTGGGCAGTGGGAGGCAGATGGCCCAGCCCACGAGTGAATAGCACATAGAGGGCCTGAGGCAAGGATGAATGGGACACCCACAGGCAGAGAGGGTGGGTGGAGCTCAGAGCCATGCAAACCACAAGAAGGAGGCTGCTGCCCGGCCTGGCACTCAGGCCTCTGTGAGATGCGTCCGTGGGGGATTCAGGCTCCAGGGACCCAGCGAGTGGCTACAGACTGTGCAGGCCTCCTGGTGACCACAGAACAGAGTGTTCCCGTGCCCAGACCTGGGTGTGAGGGGAGAAAGCTGCCCAGGAGTGCAGGTGGTCAGGTGTGACCCCAGGTATTTGCAGGCGAGGGGGAGAGGTGCTCTGATGCCAGGGGTGCCCTGGATGCATAGAGACCCCGAGGGAAAGCGAAGGGGGCCCTCTCAAAGCTCTGGAGGAACCAGGCCCCGTCCACTGGGCCCCAGAGGCCCCTGGGAGATACGGTCAGTCGGGAGGAGTGCAAGAAGCCCCAGGAGGGACCCCAATGCCCGGGTCACAGAGAACCCTAGTCCTCTGAAACACAGGCTGGAGTACCAGCTGTTCGGTGAGCAGCCTGCCACACACACGCAGGCAGACGGTGGGCTGTGGGTCCCCCTGATTTCCAAGCCAATGGGGCATAATGTGCCCAGAGACTCCAAGAAGTGGGGTTCATATCCCCCCAAAACCCAGACTCACGGACACAGCACACAGACTCTCAGAAGAAGGGAAGGAACCCCAAAGAGCCGGCACCACCGTGCTGACATGCAGAAGAGGGGAGGGGCAGGGGGACGGGCCGCCCAGACCTCAGATGATGGGGGGCGAGCTCCCTAGGTGCTCAGATGATGGGGTGCAGGCTCCCCAGATCTCAGATGATGGGGTACAGTCTCCTTGGATCTCAGATGATGGGGTACAGTCTCCCTGGATCTCAGATGATGGGGTACTGACTCCCTAGATCTCGGATGATGGGGTGCTGGTTCCCCAGATCTTAGATGATGGGGTATAGACTCCCCAGATCTCAGATGATGGAGTACAGGCTCCCCAGATCTCAGATGATGGGGTGCAGGCTCCCCAGGTACTCAGATGATTGGTGTAGCCTCCCCAGATGCTTGGATGATGGGGTAGTTTCCCCAGATGTTCAGATGATGAGGTACCGGCTCCCTGGACAAAGAGGGCATAGCCTGAATTGAAGATGACTAGGGCACACACACTGAGACCCAGTGAATGGGCATGGGGTCCCCCAATCTGCAGAGGATTGCGGTGAGCTGAGTGCCCGTGTCCTCAGCCATCCAGGCCCCAACTGAACGGGGTGCCTCAGCCAAACGGGGCGCCGACAGCCAGGGTCAGTGCGGACAGGGCGCACACGTGCCATCCCGGCACGTCTCCTGGCTCCATGCCAGCAGCTCCCGACTCCCCCAAGCCAGCGTTTGCCGTGAGTTCCAACCTCAGACATTCCCCAGGCAGCCTCAAAGGAAGCATCCCCATCCAGGAGGCCCGCCAGGGTCTCCATGCAGCTGTTGGCTGCCAAGCCGCGTCTCGGGGGCCGCAGGGCTGGCCCACGGCTGCCAGCTCTGTTTGGTTTTCCCCTTCCTGCCCTGGAACCTCAGACACCGTCTCGCCATGGAGGCGCCCATATCCTGGGGAAGGCACAAAGGCCCTACACAGTGGGGCTGGGGCGGGCCGCACGCGGGGCACACGCGCGCAGCTGCACTCCAGGGCCCCGCAGCCCGGGCGGCCGGCATCATGCCCCGCCCCACCATGCATTTCCCCCAAAGCACAGGAGCCCGCTCACCCAACAGGCCTCCTTCTGTGGCCCCAGAACTGTGCGGGGCTGTTCCTGGCCCCTCTGGGTCAACTGTTTCTTCCTAACCCCCCTCACTGGGAGAAAGACCCGGGCCTCGCACAGGGGAACACCTGCCTGGAACCGGGTGTGACCAGCACGGGCACACACGTGCACACATCCCACCTGCTATATCCCCAAAGCCACCTCCGATCCTGGGCCGAGACTCCCGGAAGTCCTTTCCGACCAGCCCTGCAGGTGGCCCTGGTAGAACAGACTCCTGTTAAGCATTAACCAGCTCCATGTCCAGCCACCGGCTGATAATGGGTTTGGGGAGACACCCTGGCCTGCAAGGGCCACTCAGAGCTGGACCCAGGGAGGGACCTGACCCGGAGTGACTGGGCCAGTTAAACTGGCCAGAGCTGAGTGTGGAAGCTCAGATAAGAGGCCCTGCCGGGCCCACTGAAGCCAGAGGTGCTGGCGTAGACTGGAGCTGGACAAGGACCGAGAACTCTGGAGACTGGGCTAGCCCAGCCAGAAGCAAAGGCATGAGTGCAATGACCTCCAGAAGGTTCTCTGGGCTCCAGAAGCCCAAACAGCCGCAGAGAGTAGTCTGGGAAGAGCAGCACTCGGCCAGCGCTACCCAGCACACCCAGGGCCACTCACCCCTGGGCACCAGACCCCCTTGCGCTTGGCTCTGTGGCAACAGAAGCCATCCTCCTCCAAAGCCACGTGGCCTCGTGACTCAGGACACCCTCCCTGAGGTGTAGAACCTTCTCAAACCAAGATCAGCCTGACCTCCCCCCCTGCTGTCCTGCCCAGAGGTCACTCCTTGCAAGGACGTCACCTCTCTTGCAAGGCCTCTGGGAGGACTGGAGACACCCCAGCCCTGGGGGAACCCCTGGAGTTGGGCCAGAACCCAGCTGGCCTGGCACCTGGGTCTTGGGAGGAACTCACTCCTAAGGGAGTTCCCCAGCTCCTGAGGGCCAGCACTTCCGGCCCTGAGGTGGGGCTCCCCAAGGCCCTGCCTCCCACACCCCCGCCCCCCAACAAGAAGAATTTCCCAATCGCTGGAGGCTGAGCCAACGCCGGGCTCCGGCTGCGAGCTCTGAGCACTATCTTCCGTGCCCTGGTCCGAGAGTGAGGCCTGGAGGCCTGGTGGGCCACAGGAAGTCCCGGCATCAGGTGAGAGCTTGCTGCCTCTGAGGCCTCCCACCCTCGACATCCGGGGACTCCTCTCTTCCCTAGGAGGGCCCACAGAAACCCGCTCCCATGGAAGCACCAAAATTCCCAGTTAGACGTAAGGAGGAAGGGTTAGTTAGCACGGGTTCAACAGGTGCCCAGCCCCAGGCTGACAGGGAAGCTGCTGGGCTCAGGGAAGCCGGGATCCCTGACTAGGGGAGTACACAGGGCAGAATCCAGCACCAACTGCATGACAGGTCTGAGTGGGGGGAGTGACCAGGGAGGGCTTCCTGGAGGAGGTGGGCCTCACACAGACCTTGAAGGGAGAGTGAGATGAGGATAGGAAGGAGGGGCAGTTGAGGCACAGAGCAGTGGGAGGAAAGCTTGGCAGCTGCAGGAATGACCAGCTGTGGCGGGAGATGGGGCGGAAGGAGAGAGCCGAGCTGATCTGCAGAGCGGGGATGGATCCTCTTGGGGGAGTGGCTGGGGTGGGGTCTGGATTTAGGAAGGGCACCACCCGTCTCCCTTTCCCGGGAAAGACGGGCTTAGTACCTAGAGAGGGTTCCCCAGCCAGGCCACGGGACCCAGACACCCAGAGCTAGACGGTAGGAAGGACTTCCTGCCTTCAGAGCTGTGGGCAGGAAGGAGGGCTGCCAGAGGCTCTGTTGCAGAGGGGGAGAAGCAGGTGGCCTCATAGGGCAGGGAGTTGCCCCTGGGTCACCTGCCTGCCTTGGGCACCTGACGCTTTCCCCAGAAGCTGCAGCCTGGAGGCAGGACCGCGGCCGGCTGGCGTGTCAGTGGAGCGCACAGCGCCACCTGGTGGCTGCGAGCCTGTCTGAGCCTTCACCACCACTGGGACCAGCGGTCCTGAGGGACCCCGTGCCTCCACAGGCCTGGGGCCCCTCGGGGGTTGTGAGCGGGATCCCCAGGGTCCTGGATCCTCTCGGGCCAGCCTCCAGGCATTCCCCGTGGTCCTGGGGGGACAACCTTCACCAGGCTGGCCAGGAGCCCTGCTGGGCCAGCAGCACCCAACCCCCCGCGACTCGGTGCCTGCCCCACCCCTGACCTAACCGTGATGAGAACGCCAGCAAAGCAGGGGCATGGGGAGAGCTACACACATACACACACACATGCACACACACGTATGCACACATGAACCTACAAGCACACACAGGTATGTACATACATACAGATGGAGATCCTGTGCTGATGACTTCTCGCAAATTCTCAACCATAAAAATCTCGAAGGAAGCTATTTTCGTTCCAGAACACACATAGGCTCTGAAGTTTCAAAAAGTAAAGGTTGACTTCAGGTTCCACGCGGGGGGCCGGGGCCTCTTTAAATCTGGCTTTGTGCAGCTCCCGCGACCCTGTGGGACCTCAGCCGCTCTGGGGCCAGGCCGGGCATCAGCAGCCCCCGGGGCTGCTCCACCAGCCACGTGGGGGCCACTGAGCAAACCCGAAAAGGCCTTCAGAGGAGGGACGTGGAGGCAGGAGGGCGGGCGGTGGACAGAGGGCGTCAGAGGCCTGCGAGCTCCCTGGAGCAGCGTGAGCTCTACCGTGGGGCCTCACCCCGTGGGCCCTCCAGCCAGGCCGGTTCCATCACTTGGGGGGGCCCGTGCAGAAGGAAAACGTGCAGCCTCTCATTCAAGACTGGTTCGAGGGGCTGGCCCGGTGGTGTAGTGTTTAGGCTCGCACGCTCTGCTTTGGAGGTCCGGGATTTGCAGGTTTGGATCTTGGGCACAGACCTGCACCACTTAGCCACGCTGTGGCAGTGTCCCACATACAAAATAGAGGAAGATGGGTACAGATGTTAGCTCAGGGACAGTCTTCCTCACCGAAAAAAAAAAAAGGCTCGAGATGGTGACGACAGGCACTAAACCAAGCATGGGGTCCTTCTCTCTGAGCGTGGGGCCCGGGGTGCAGGCTGCCCCTGCATCCCTTCTTTGTGCTCCACGTCCCCAGGCCTGGCCCTCTGCTCTGCTCTAAGCTCTGATCTACTTAGCTGTAAAAGACCTCACAGGAACAACGCGTACAAAGTCCCTCCAGGGGATGACAGAGCTGGGCCTGGGAGGCAGGACCCCTGGGGCCTGGTCTGCAGATCTGAGGAGGGGACCTGGGGCCGCCCTCCCCTCTTTGACATGCAGTTCCTTCCTCTGAACCGTGAGGGGTCGGGCTGGTTCACGGTTGGTTCTGGGAGTGGAGCAGCCTCTGCTCAGCCCACTGGGGAGAGGGGCGTTGACGCCTTGTGCATTGGGGGTCATCTCGGGAATCGCAGCGGGGCTCCTTTCTCTCCCTCCCCAAGCTCAGCACCAGGCTGGGCGAGGGGCGCAGAGATGATGGGATCTGGTCTGGATGACTGGTTATTCCTGGCGGAGGTGGCCTGGGTTGGGACCCTAATGCAAGAGAGGTGGTAGGCCCTTGTGGGCAAAGAAGGCAGGCCCCAGGTGGCAGGAACTGTGACTCCTGGCTGCCACTGCTCCCGGAGGAGGGGGAGGTGGGGAGGAGCTGAGCCACAGGGAGGAGCGTGTGCGCCTGGGTTCACAGCGCACCCCACTGTGGCACCCGGCCCCCAGCTGGTCCCTGTTGTGGGTGGGAAGATCCAGCCCCAGCAGGTGTGTGCACTCCCAGCCCTGGGCAGGTAGGCGGTGCCAGCCGCACCCTCTTGGCCACCCACGCGCAGGGTGGCAGGGCAGGCGCAGGTCTGGGCAGTCGGGCGGGCTGCTGAGTCAGCTCGTGAGGAATGTTCTGGCCGCTCCCAGCTGCACCCTCCCTTGCTGCCCCCTCACCCTCCTCCCTGGGCGCTGCTGGCCCCACGCCCGTGCCAGGAACACACCTTCAGCCCGGGCTTGCCCCACACAGCCAGCCCCAACTCCTCACCCCACCTGTTCCCCCAATGACCCCAGCAGAGCCCCGACCCCTTAGCGCCCCCATTCCCATGCTCCCAGGTCGCTCCCAGGCTGGGGGCCCACACGTGTGAATATGCTCCATCCGCGTGACTGGCAAACCACGGTGGGCCTGCGGTCAGGGGCAGGGATGAGAAGGGACCTCCAGAATGACCCCCAGGCAGGGCCCAGGGCCCCAGGGGATGGGGGCTTCCTGGAGGAAGAGGCTCTGCAATGAGGAGGGGCAGGGCCCTGCGGCAAGGACCAGGGAGGGCAGCGCCCAGGCTGGCGTGCTGGGCTGGGCTGGGGCTGGGGGCTGGGGGAGGTGGCCAGGAGGCTGGACCTGTGGCAGCTCAGCCAGCACGTTGGCCAAGGCCCAGTCCTCCCTCCCTTGGCTCCACTCAGAGCCCTCACCCCTGGCCACCCCGGGCTGCCTCCTTGCACAGGTGGACCCAGAGCCGGCTGCTGCTGGGCAGTTGGGGCTGAGGGCAGGGGCCCACGGGGCCACCTCCACAGGTGACCCGGCCACTCCAGCCGTCTCCTGCGAGCCAACAGGGCAGAGAGATGGGGCGCCCCCCGGACCCCCACAGCACCCTGGTCCCGGTGAGAACCACGGCTGCACCCAGGCTCACACCAGACCTCATCGCCGGCCTCCCCTGTGAGTCGCCAGACACCCGGGAGGGGCATGGGGCTGGGCCGGTGGGTGGCGGCAGCCGCTGGCCACAGAGACATCTCGGCCTACCTCTGTGCCCCCTCCCAGGGCCCCACTGGGCACCCATTGCTGTGGCTGTTGTTGCTGGCATCCTCGTCGTTTCCTGTCTCCTCTGTGCCATCTGCTGCTGCTGCCGCCACGGCCACCGCCACGGGAAGAAGCCCAGAGACAAGGAGGCTGTGGGCCTGGGCGGTCTCCCCGGCACCACCACCACCCACCTGGTGAGGAGCAGGCACCAGTGCTCCCTGGGGCCCAGCTCCCGGCTGGGTCAGTCCCAGTGGGCAGGCAGCTCAGGGTCCAGGCTCAGGGACTCAGGGCAGCCCAGGGTGGCCAGGGGCAAGCGCAGGCCCTGGGGCTTGTCTGGACTGCCCAGGGCAGAGACAGGGAGGACCTTCCTGCCGGCAGAAGCTGTGAGCAAAGGGGAGGGGGAGGCAGTACAACCGAGGCAGGGGGACCCAAGGCCCAAAGAAACTTGAGTGGCAGCCTCAGGGGTTGGTCCCCAGGCCATGAGGAGCCACAGCAGGTTCTTGAGGAAGGCAGCAGTGCGAGAGAGGGATTTGGGGCAGATGCACCAGTTCTGGCCAGTCCCACAGCTGAGCTGAGGGTGTGAGCCCTTCTGGTGCCTGGACTGGAGATGGACGGTTTGACTCAAGTTGGAGAACTGCTGCCTGGGAGGTCCAGGGCTCTGGCGGGAACACAGTCCCAGCAGCACCCGTCATCCCGACCACCCCAGGTGCAGCCAGATGTGGATAACGAGGGGGACCCCAAGCCATGGGGGCGCCTGCTGCTGTCCCTGCAGTACGACTTCGGAAGCCAAGAGGTGAGGCCCCACTCTGCAGGCCCAGAGGGTCTGCGGGTACATGGAGGGGAGGCCGGCACAGGGCGCGCGGGGGCTGGGGGACGCGAGGCCAACCAGGGAGGGCCCTGTGGCTGAGCCACCCCTGGCTCCCAGATCAGGGTGGGCCTCAAGCAGGCGGCGGACCTGAGACCTGGTGGCCCTGGCGGCACGGCGGACCCCTACGCCCGCGTCAGCCTCTCCACGCAGGCGGGGCGCTGGCACGAGACGCGGGTGCACCGTGGCACACTCTGCCCAGTGTTCGACGAGACCTGCTGCTTCCATGTGAGCTGCGGCGGGTTGGGCCGGGGCTGGGGTCGGGGCCAGGGGCTGGGGCCGGGGGTGGTGGGCCGGGGCGGTGGCCGCTCACACCCACGTGCAGGCGTCACCAGCCGAGCTGCCGCGGAGCAGCCTGCAGGTGCAGGTGCTGGACTTCAGGCGTTTCTCCCGCCACGAGCCGCTGGGCTCACTCAGCCTGCCGCTGGGCGCCGTCGACCTGCAGCACGTCCTGGAGCTCTGGCACCAGCTTGGCCCGCCAGGCACCGCCGAGGTGAGGCCGCTACCACCAGGCCCCAGCCCGGCTCCGCCCAGTGTCCGGCGGGGAAACTGAGGCCCCGGGGGCCCGGCTGAAGCCCACTCTCGCGGCCCGCAGCCTGAGCAGACTGGGGACCTGTGCTTCTCCCTCCGGTACACGCCTGGCTCAGGCCGGCTCACCGTAGTCGTGCTGGAGGCCCGAGGCCTGAGCCCGACGCTGGCAGGTGAGAGCCATGACTGCCCCCTCCGCAGACACAGAGCGGGCCCTGGGCTGGGCCCGCAGACCTGGGACGCCCTTGGCCCCTCTCGCCCACACAGATCCTTACGTGAAGGTCCAGCTCATGCTGAACCAGAGGAAGTGGAAGAAGAGGAAGACGCAGGCCAGGAAGGGCCCGGCTGCCCCCTACTTCAACGAGGCCTTTGCCTTCCTCGTGCCCATCAGCCAGGTCCAGGTGGGTGGCCTGGAGGAAGGGGCGGGCCAGATCTCACCCGGGACCAAACTGACCCCTGTCCTTCTCTCCCTCCACCGCCCCTCTGCCTGTCTCTGCCCAGAGTGTGGATCTGGTGCTCGCCGTCTGGGCCCGGGGCCCACAGTTCCGGGCCGAGCCTGTGGGCAAGGTGCTGCTGGGCGCCCGGGCCTCTGGTCAGCCCCTCCAGCACTGGGCGGACATGCTGGCCCATCCCCGGCGGCCCATCACCCAGTGGCATCACCTGCGGCCTGCCAGGGAGGTGGACCGGGCCCTGGCCCTGCAGCCCCGCTTGCGCCTGCCCCTGCCTGGCTCCTGAAACCTCCCCCGGGCCCCCGTCTTCCAGGGATCAGCTGGTCTCCTGGCAGGCCCACTGTAATAAAGCCTTCTCCTGCCATCACTGTGTGTCCTTCCTGAGCCCTGCCTGCACACAACACTGTCAGGGGCTCCACCGTCATCGCCGTGAGCCCCTCTTGAGGGCGGGGAGAAGGCTCCTCTCTGGACCCGGCCAAGCCCAGAGGCCTCTGACCGATGACTGACCCCTGGGTGGCATGAAGAGGCCCCTCCAGGCCCAACAGGGACGATATGGAGAGGTGGGGAGCCCTCCCCATCTATGGGGGCTGGAGGGTCGGGCACAGCGTTGGGGGAGGTGGGCTGTAACTGCCCTGTGGGGACACGGTGGGCAATCAGGAAGCATTTGAGGAGCAGTGACTGTGGAGGGAGGGGACCCCAACACCAGGGGCTGCCCCAGCTCCCTGCAGGGCCCCCAAACCTTCTGGCGGGGGTGGCTGCGGGCCCTCCCCTGAGCGACCAGCAGGGGGCAGCAGATGTCTTCGGAAGCCGCCCTGGGCCTTTGGGGGCTACGGGCCCGGCCGGAAGGCAGCTCTAATCCCGGCACATCTGGACGGCCTCAGCTTTCCTGACCCTCCCCACGGCCCCCAGAGCCGGCGAGCTGGGGCCGCACATCCCCAGCTCCGAAGATGCCAAGTCATGGCCCTCCGGATGCCTGTGCAGGGAGGGACCCGGGCGGGGGGCGCAGGCCCAGGCCGGGCTGGGGTGAGAAGGGCAGTGTTGGGCCTGCCCGGGCAGCCAGGCAGGCCCCAAGGCCCCTGGGGTCAGGGAGAGGTTCCCAGGCGGGTGGCGCCACCAGGCTCAGGTTGAAGGACGAGTTCCGCATTGCGCAGGAAACGGGCCCTTGGGCAGGGGCAGGGCATTCCAGGTGGGGCTGTCTGTCCAGGGCGCCCCTCACCTCCTGTTCTCAGGCAGGAAAGCGGGTCACGTCCAGGGGAAGGCAGCCCCCCACCCCAGAGACCTCTGGCCACTGCCACAGACCCTGAGGCCATGTTTGGGGGTCCAGGCCTTGCCCCGAGCTGGCTTGGAAGAGGGGAGGCACGGGCTAGCTCGTGCCTGAGACGCCAGCCCGGGGCTGTAATGAGCTGCAGGGAGAGGCCCAGGGAGCCGGGGGCCCACAGGGAAGCCCAGTGGGGACTGCAGTGTGAACCCCAACTCAGGGCCCAGTGGGGCCTGGCTCTCGGTGACGCTCAGCTGACCCCTGAGCTGTGCGCCCCACCGTGGCCCAGCGAGGCTGTGCCCGGCTGTCCTTGGGCTCCTTGCAAGAACAACGGAGGCTTCTCAAACTCGTCACTGAGCCCTAAATAGAGCAACCCAACCTCACGCCCCCCCACCAAGACTTCTTGGACTGGATGGCAGCACGCGGCGGGGCCGGGCCAGGCGGCCTGGGCAGGTGGGGAGGTGCCTGTGCCCCCATTGGTCTGAGGAGGGCTCCATGCCCTTTCTGAGATGGGGCCCAGGCTGGGGGAGGCCATTTATACCCCTCCCCCTGGGCCCACCAGCCCAACTCGCTGCTGCCCGCCTGACCTCGCTCCCAGCACTGCTGCCCAGACACTAGGTGAGGCCGGCCCGGCCAGGCCAGCCGAGGCTGGGGAGATGCACTACTCAAGCTAGTCTGCAGGAGGACTTCCCAGGGAGGGGGCCTGGGGGCTGGGGGCCACCGCCAACAGCCCTCTCTGGGGGGACTCCATGGAGCTGAGAGTGACTGGGAGATGCACTGGGACGTGGGCTGGGGAGGCAAGGGTCCAAGACAGACCCCTGATGGCCAGGCTTCACATCTGGGACACTGGAAGGGGATTTTATGGGTCCAGGGACCCCAGTCAAAAGTGGGGAGCAGTTCCTTACATGCACTTGGGCCTGAAGCCGAAGGAGCAGGGCTAAAAATAACTGGGTGTCTCTGGCGGCCACCTGCGCTGGCCCATCCTGCCCCTCCCTTGGGGACAGCTGCAGCAGCTCCAGGCCCTGCCTGGGACATTTTGGGAACACTGTCTCCTCTTACTTCTCACTCCGGGGAATCCCAAGATATCGCCCTCCAAGGAGGTTGGAGCTGGGGGGGCGGCTGGGGAGCCGGGTTAGCGTGAGGTGCTGTCCCCCACCACGGGCAGCCGGTGTCCACGCGGGACGGGGCTGTGGTCCTGACCCTCCTCGACTTTCTCTCCCACAGGCTCTAAGCCCAGGACTCAGGATGGGGGAGTAAGTGTCGCCCCCAAGCCCGGAGCCCCTTCTGCCCCGCCCTCCCCCCCCCCTCACCGGGGGCAGGGGTCTCTCTTCTCCCCAGCAGAGGCCCTGCCGCCCTGGTCACCTCCGTCCCCACCTGCCCCATCCTCAGGCCCCAGCACATGGCCCTAACCTCTCTCTTCTCTCTCCCCAATCCCGCCGCCCTCCTGGGACAGTGAGGAGGTGAGTAATTGCCTCGGGTGAAACATGGAGGGGATGGGACCCCCACCCCCAGAGGGGTCAGAGGTCAGAGCTTCAAGACCCTGAGGCCCCAGCCCTCCGCCTCCCCATGAAAGTGCCCCACCCCATCCACCAAGACGCCCATGAAACAGAGGAAGTGGCTGCCGATGCAGGGGCAGGGGAAGTGAGGCTGCGGCCGGACACTGGGGAAGTTGCTTCTTCTTTCTGACTACTGCACCCCCACTCCCTCACCCATCCCCACTGTCTTGGGGTGCAGCCTCTTCTCCCCCCACCTTCAAGGCTGATGTGCCACCTGGGCAAAGGGTCACCATGCAGTACCGTGTCCTGGGCCCGGCTCCCCCCAGGGCCTCAGGAGCCCCCCCAGTCTCAGCTGTCCCCTGGACAGGACCCCCATAGCCCAGCCGGGAGCATGGAAAGGACGTGGGCCCCCAGGCCGACCCTGACTCTGCCTTTCCCCCTCTGCCCTGCAGAAGCGCAACAGGGCCATCACGGCCCGGAGACAGCACCTGAAGGTAGGTGCCGCCTCAGGGAGGGCCACCCGGGGGTCTGCGTGGCCGGGCCCCATGGCCCCTCACCCCTGCTCCCCGCACCCTGCAGAGCGTCATGCTCCAGATCGCGGCCACGGAGCTGGAGAAAGAGGAGAGCCGCCGGGAGACGGAGAAGCAGAACTACCTGTCAGAGCACTGCCCCCCGCTGCACATCCCCGGCCCCATGGCCGAGGTGCAGGTACCCCTGGCCCGCCCCACCCCCAGCAGCCATCCTGCCCGCTGCCTCGGTTTCCCCATTGGTCAAGAGGGCAAGCAGCTGGTAACAGCAGGTGGAAGTCAGGCGTCAGGTTGGCCGCCCACCCACCCGCCGCCCTCACCCCCAGGAGCTCTGCAAACAGCTGCACGCCAAGATCGACGCGGCCGAGGAGGAGAAGTACGACATGGAAATGAAGGTTCAGAAGAGCACCAAGGAGGTGAGGGGTCGAGCGGCAGGGCCAGGGGGCTGGGGGGGGGGGGGCGGCCCGACTGGGTGGGGAGCCTGGCCCCCGGTCCCACCCAGCCCTCTCCTCCCTCCCGCAGCTGGAAGACATGAACCAGAAACTGTTCGACCTGAGGGGCAAGTTCAAGAGGCCCCCGCTGAGGAGGGTGCGCATGTCAGCCGACGCCATGCTCAAGGCACTGCTGGGCTCCAAGCACAAGGTGTGCATGGACCTGCGCGCCAACCTGAAGCAGGTCAAGAAGGAGGACACGGAGAAGGTACGCGGCCTCCCCCCACGGGCTGGCTCCAGGCACGCAGGGTGGCTCCCCACCTCCCCCGGCCCTGGGAGCCTATTCACAGAAGGGAAACTGAGGCTGAGGGCTGTCCCTGGCTTCCCAGTGGGGTGGGTGGGCCCGAACCCTCTCCTGGCCCCACCCTCAGGAGCGGGACCTTCGCGACGTGGGTGATTGGAGGAAGAACATAGAGGAGAAGTCCGGCATGGAGGGTCGCAAGAAGATGTTCGAGACCGAGTCCTAGGCCCCCCGCTGCCCACCACGGCCTGGCCCGGTGCTCCCGGCTCCCAGGAGAGCATGCAGGAGGGGAGGCCGATAGAACTCCACCTAGGAGGACCCGGCTCATCTCGGTTGTCAATAAAGGATTCCAAGCCCCGTGACCTGCGTGGTCTGTCCTGCCCCAGCCTCACTACCCACAGGCCGCCTGGCCACCTCGGGACGCCACGCTCTGGGCAGGCGCCATCACGTGGTGGCACGTCAGTGCTGTCAGCATCCGGAAAGCCCGAGGTTGGGGTCTATGGGGCGTCACACACGGGCGTCAGGATTTCAGGCAGGGCTGAGAGGGCCGTATCCAGGGCTGGAACCACTCCCCCGCAGCCCGCACCCTGGCCTGCTTGGTGTGGTCAGTGGTCACTGGTCAGTCCCCAGGAACTCCCCAGGGCTTGCCCTGGACATGCCCGACCTTGCAGGGCCTGGAGACAGACGGCCTGGTCATGTCTGAGCAGTTGTTCTCGGAATGAGATCTTTTGTGTGTTGTCACTGTCATCCTCCGGGCCCCGCAGGACCCAGAGACCCTCTCTGCATGACACAAGTCCAGGAGGGGCCTGTCGCAGCATGCCCTGCTGTGCAATGTGGGCAGTCCCCCACTCCTCCCAGCCTGTTCCTCCTCAGACCCCAGACTCTGCCATGGGGGACACTTGCAGGCCATCCTGGATCATGCGGCCGTCCCAGAGTGGCTTGTGCTCAGGGGACAGGGGCTTGCCTGCACTGGGGTCTTTGCTCCCCATGGGGGACTGATGACAGGCCAACCTGGCCCCACGCTGGCCCAGCAGGAGGGCCTGCATCTCCTTTTTGCTCAGCTCCAAGGCTCTAGCCTAACTCACACATCAAGGGACGATGTCCCCCCCCACCCCAGGCCCGGCCAAGGACTGTCACCACAAGGCCACGGTTGTCAGCTTCCTTTGTGAGGGATGATATAGTGACCTGCCAAGGTCCCTCTGCTCAGATCTTTGGTGGGGAATCCAGGGGAGGACAGGCCGCGGCCCCATGATGGAGTGGCTGTCCACCCTGCCCTTGCCCTCAGGAAGTCCAAGCGATTGATCTGCCGGGGGCTGGAGACAGGAAGGACAGCTGCGTCCAGCCTTGGGCTGCCTCAAGGGACTGACCGACGTCAGCCTGCCCTGATGGCCTTCCCCAAGCCCTCCACTGGGGGCCCCGCTCCAGCCCCGGGGGCTGGCTTGTCTTTTGAACAGCTCCCTGCAGGCCCTTGCAACTTGGCGGGCAGGCGACCCTGCAGCTCTGGGCCCAGTCTTGTCAAAGCCCCTGGCCCCGGGCCTGCGGCTCCTGTAGGCAGGGTGCAGGGGACCAAGGGATGGTCCAGGCCGAGGCGTACCCCACACACGGCCGAGAGCGGGCAGGGCAGACAGGGAACCCAAGGAACAGGTTTTGGTGGCCAGGACCCCCAGTGACAGAGGCTGTGCTCACGGTGGACCCAGCAAAGTGAACAGGGCAGCTGTCCAGGGGCCATGCCCACCAGGAAAGGACGGCAAACCTCTCCCGAGGGCAGTGGGGTGGCAGGGACACGGGGGCCAGTTCCCTCAGGCAGGACTTGACTCCATCAAGCTGATTGAGCAGACTCACTATGTGGGGAAATGACCCTTTTTATTAAAAGGCAAGAAAATGTCACAACATTTTCACAAACACAAAATTCTAGATAGGGATTCCGGGGGTGGGGGTCTGTGCAGGGGCAGATGGTTGAAGCACGTAAGTCCACATAGGCCTGGAAAAGCATTGTAATTCCTGGGCGGGATAGCGGGTTTATGGGTGTTGGTCACATTTTCCAATGAATGAATGAGCGAATGAATGAATGAAGTAAGAGGACTGTGCAAACCAAACCAGCAAGCAAACCTCCGACCCAGCGCCGCTCTGGGCCTGGCTCCACCCCTCCACCTCTCTCTGCCACTGGCCTCCCCGGGCCACCCTCGTGTCCACAGCTGGGAGGCTGCATCCACACAGCCACAGAGAGGGCCGAACGGGGCGGTTGGTGGGAAGCAGGTAACCCCACACCTGGCACGTGGTGAAGGCTCTGCATTCTAGAAAGATCTGTGCAGGGTGGAGATTAGGCAGTAAGGAGGCGAGGCTGGAGCGGGGAGAAGGCATAGAAGCCACAGTCATCTGCTGGGAGGGAGGCAGCTGGTGGACGAGAGACATTCACGAGGCAGAGCCCCCAGGACTTGGTGGACCAGGCAGACGGGGCGCCCAGGCCTAGGCCGAGGGGGAAGAGGGAGGTTCCCCAGGGAGGCATCCCAGAGCAGGGGAGGGGCTGACTCTGGGAGGTGAGTTTGGGGACCGTGGAGGTTCCCAGGGAAGAGAGACACAGGCAGCAGGGTGCAGGGGTCCCGGCTGGAGGTGGGGCCTGGGCGTCCTCAGAAGTGAGTGGTGAGCAAAGTCCCGACAACGGGCAGACCAGGCAGAGGAGGCCAACTCTTGCAGTCCCGAGCTGGATGCTGCCCAGGAGGGACCCTGCAGGGAAGGAGGACAGCGCAAGTGCAGGGGCCGCTGCTGGAGGTCAGGGAGGCGCGCGGCCACAGGAAGCCCCAGGGCACCCCTGCTGGGCTGTGGCTGGGACCGGGCTGGGGAGGCAGCCGACTCCAGGGTGGTGGGGCGAGTGGAGAGAGAAGTGGGGAGCACAGAGGGGCCTCTGGAGGCTGAGGAAAGAGGGCTCGGTGGGCGAGGCTAGCTGAGCGTAGGTGGGGGGCGCCGCCGCATGGGCCGGTTTGTGCCCCAGCTCTCTCTGCTCTGCCTGCTGCGAGGCCAAGAGGCAAGGAGCAAACAGCAGCCAGGCCTGGGTCCCCGACAACGTCTTCCCACGAGGGGACCAGGGCTCATGGAGGAACAACGGACTGAGCACGGGGTGGGGGGCGGGTAACAAGTACACAGATGGGCCCAAATGTTCTGGTGTGACAGAGCAAGGAAGTGGGCCAAACCAACAGAAATAGAATAAAATGACTGATGGGGCGGGTCATAAGGGCACAGACACGTACAAGAGACACACGCGGCGTGTCAGTTACACGGACTGAGGCTGCTGTGGGTAGGCGAGAGGACATCTCTGTTTTTAGGAATTAGACGATAAGGTCTTTAGGAGTAGAGGAGCAATCAGGAGAGAGAGACAGGCAGACAGACAGAGACAGAGAGACGGAGAGGAAGCAGAGAGGGTGATGGAGAAAGAGGGAGATAGAGAGACAGAAAGAGGGAGGGAGAGAGAGCAGGCTGACGATGACGCAATGGGCAGGACGCTGATAACAGGTGACGTGTGGTGTTCTTTGTCTCATCTTGAAACTTTTCTGTACTTTTGAAATCATTTCCCCCAAATTAACCTTTTCTTTAAATGTCAAAACAATAAAATTCTTAAGCAATCACAAAAATAGGTGAAGCAGAATCCAGGAAAGAGTGGAGCTGACCGGCGCAGCTCAAGGTGTGGGCAGGCAGGAGCCGAGCCCGAGAGAGGGGCCAGGGCCAGCGGGTGAGGACAGGGGAGCGCAGGCTGAGGGGGCGGAAGGACATGGCACCCTGCTCCCGGGGGTCTTGAGAAGGCTCCGGAGGAGGCCAGAGGGGGTTAAGTGAGTGGGGTCGGGCCAAGGAGACAGGACAGGTTGGGCAAAGGCCAACTTCCAGGTGGTGGAAGAAGGAAGGGGTCAGCGGTCCGTCTGGAAGTGGGTGGAGCTGTGAGGACTAGGATGGGAGTTAGTTCGGGGCTTCCCTGTATCTGTGGGACAGGACTCAGAGGCGGCCTCCCCACCCCCTTTACCTCCACCCTGGCCCAGGGGAAGCCAGAGCAGGGCCAGGGGTTGGGGTAGAGGGGCACAGAGTTCCTTCATGACAGTCCGCCTGCTGGGACCCCCACCCGCAGGGCCTGTGATCCCACAGTGCCTCAGCCTCTCTCCAGCCCAGCCTCACCCTGGTGACCTGTCCAGTCTGTCCTCTCTTTGGTCCTCAAGCAACAGCTCTGTCTGGGCCCAGGCCTGCCTCTGCCCCCGACGACTGACAATCCATGGGCCTCCATGTCTGTTCCTGAGGTCCCCCTTCCTCCCCCCCGACCCCCACTCACTCCTCCTCACAGTGTCTCGACAAGCTGCTGGGCCTCAGCCCGAACCCTCGGCCTCTGAGTCCTTGAAGGCCAGCCTGGGGGGCCTCCCGCCCTGCTGCCCTCTCCTCACTCCAGAGGGAATTTCTGGCAATTCCAGGCTCAGCTCACTGTGGCTGCCCGTTTTCCGGGGAGGAGACCAGGTTAGGTGCAGACGGTACCAGCCACACCCCCACCTCTGGCCCCTAGATCCCCTCTGGGACCTTTCACCCCCCCAGTAACCTGGGTCGTCCTCACCTCAAATCAGAGGCCACAGGGCAGAACCCAACCTCTTCCGCCCACCCCTGCACTGCCCACACCCCAGGGGACACATGTGCTGCACAGCGAGCCCTCCAGACGGCACCTTCGTCATCTGCTCTGCCCTCATCTGTCCCCACTGCCCACCGCTCGGCTCCCGTCTTACCTGACCTCTCAGTGTGTCCACTCAGTGTGGCTGGCTCCCCACCTGGCCCTCCGTCCATCTTCTTCTGGCATCCCTCTGACCTGTCCACCCCCCAGTTCCCTTGTGGACTCCCTGTCCCCATCTGTCCCTAGGCCCTACCCGTGGCTTCCTCCTCACGCTCCTCGTGTGCCCGCGCCAGGACTCCAGGACACATTTCCCAGAGGCCTGTGATCAGGGAGTGGGGTACGGGGCTAACCAGCAAACCCCACAGCCTTCCTCCCAAGGCAGAACACATACAACGCTGGCGACGCCCCGGAGCGATGCACCCCAGGAAGCTGCAGGGAGAGAGGGGAAGCTGCGTGCCGACGTCCCGCCCATCCCCGCTGTGGTGGCGCTCTGATCGCCTCCCTCCCAGCGTCTCTGAGCTTGGCCTGTGACCACACAGCCGCCCTGGATGCCTCGGCTTGGGTTTCCCTCCCCGTCCAGAATCCTCTCCCACCCTGACCTGCTCCTGCTTCGTGCCTCTGCTTGCTGGTGGCCCCACCTGGACCCCCAGAGCGCCCAAGGCACCCCAGCTTCTCATTCCCTTGCCCCCGAATCTCGTAGGTCACTGTGACCGGAGCTGGCGGGCCACCCACAACACTGCTTCCCTTTTCTTCCCTGGCACGCACTTGCAGACAGATGAGGCCATGAGACTGAGTTCTTGATGACATTTGTGTCCAGGCCTGGCCGTGGGACCCCAGCCTTCCCATGGTCTCCCCGCCCCTCCCCTGCCTGCTGGATACAAAGGATCAGCCAGGCCTCTGAGGACCTCGGGGAGGAGGAGCCTGGGGTCCCAGGCAGACTACAGAGCCCCTCCCCACCTGCCATGGCCTGAGAATTGGACGGGAGTGGGAACAAGGTTCTCGCAGGGCTCAGATCCTGAGTGTGGGGCTGTTTGTTACAGCAGCTGGTCTCCTTTTCCCTGACTAACACAAGCCCTGTGTCAGTGTCCCGGGGCCTGCTGTGCAAAAGGACCACAGAGGGGGCTTAAGCCACCAGTACTGACTGTCTCCCAGTCCTGGAGGCTGGACGGCCGAGGTCCAGGTGTGGGCAGGGCTGGTCCCTCCTGAGGCCTCTCTCCTTGGTGTGTAGATGCCGTCTCCTCCCTGCGTCCTCACAGGGTCGTCCCTCTGTGAGCGTCTGTGTCCTCATCTCCCCTTCTTATAAGGACCCCGGTCACACTGGATTAGGGTCTACCCTAGCAATCTCATTCTGATTGATCATCTACAAAGACCCTATTTCCTAACAAGGTCAGGCTCACGGGTGCTGAGAGTGAGGACCAGAGAACTTTTAGGTGACTCATCTCAGGCCGTCACACTCCCGAGCCCGTCTCTCTCCAGCCTCATGCTTTCTCTCTTCAGATCCTCAGCATCTCTCTCCTGGATCCTCAAAACACTCTCCCCCTGCTCTGTCTGCCTCTCGCTTTGTCCCCCCGTACGACCTGCCGAGGCTTCTTGTGAGCCCCCAGGTCCCTCTGCCCAGCCTTTGCTGATTACCTGGGCACAGCATCCCCCCACCCCAGGTACAGGCCCCCTGCCACCCCTCAGGCCCTGGGACTCCCGTGGCTGACGGGCCCACATGCTGACCGCCCGTGACACTCCCTCCTCCAGCGGCTGACCTGTGCTCAGACCTCTGGAGCCACCCTCCACCCTCCGGCCACCCCCAGCCAGTCGCCAAGTCAGACACGCCTTGTTCTCTTCTGACTTGACCTGTTCCGTGTGTGGACCACTTCCCCATTCCTGACCTCTCCTCCTCGCTCACTCTGCCCACGCTCACCCGTCCCCTCCCCAGTGTCACTTGAGAATGTGGTCCTGACACTGCCCTCCCTGGGGCACCTGTCCCACCTGAGTCTTTGAGGCCACCTTGTCCATGGACCCAGCTGCTCCTGGACAGTCTGCCTTGATGTCCCACTGACAGTACAGAGTCAACGCATCCCCTGTGTCCCTCTGCCCCGCCCACCTCACACAGACTCCTCCTGGCCTGCCCCTCGGCACCCTGCAGGGCTCGGCTCAGCGTCTCTGGTGCCGGAACCCTTCCCAGCAAAGCTTGCTCCGCCCTGGCCTCAGACTAGCTCATTGCTTCACTTGGTCATTCGCTGTGTCGCTGGACACTGCACCAGAGTTTGGGGGCGCACGGATGGATGAGACAAGGTCTCTGCCCTCCCCATGCAGCCCGGCCCTAGAGTTTGAGTGAATGACACCAAGGGAAGGAACCAGGGGGTGTCTGTGTCTCGGGGAGACTCAGCTCTCCAGAGGAAGGGCCCCACTCTGTTCAACCTGCCGCCCAGCAGGGCACAGGTGGTCTGGACGGATGCTGGGGGCCCCGAGGGATGCCTTCACCTCACGCATGCCTGCTGGTCCAAGCCAAGTGGAGATTAGGCATGGAGGCAAAGAGCTGGCCCTGAAAGAGGCTTGAGAAGGACCAGCAGCCAGGCTGGCGGGTCCAGGGCGTTTTCCTTTTTAATTTTTTTTTTTAAAGATGCGAGAGATTTGAGCACATAAAATGGGATGAACAGGGGAAGAGAGGCTGGAGGGATGGAAAGAGGGACTGTTCAACAGCAAGATGGCCTGGAACTGGTCGGGGGAGCTGAGCACTGGGGAGAGCGTCCCTCGGGACTCTCCTGGAGAAAGGCGTCTCCTCTCTCTTTGGGGCCTGTTTGCTGGGCACACCATGGGAGGGAGGGATATTAGGGTCCCGGGGTGGCCATAACAATGTCCCACGGACTCGGTGGCTTAAACGGTAGACATTTACTGTCTCCCAGTCCTGAGGCCACAAGTCAGAGATCCAGGTGTCAGCAGGGCCTGTTCCTCCTGAGGCTGCGAGGGAACTTCTGGCCCAGGCCCCTCCTCCAGCTGCTGGTGGTTTCCTGGCCATCTATGGGGTTCCCGACCTCTGCCTTCATGTTCACATGGTGCCCTCCCTGCGTGCGAGTCTGTCTCCAAGTTTCCCCTTTTTACAAGGACACAGTCACACTGGCCTAGGACCCACCCTAGTGACTTCATCTTAACAAATGACATCTGCGCAGACCCTATTTCCAAATGAGGTCTCATTCTGAGATGCTGGGGGTCAGGACTTCAACCTATAAACTTGGGGGGACCCAGTTACACCCCACCAGGAGGTGTCAGGCTGCCTCTGGGCCTCTGAGGACGGGCAGGCAGAGGGCAGACAGGAGCACTCAGGAGGGCCCTGGTGTCCGGCAGAAGCTTGGAGGGTCACAAGCCCTTCTGTCTCAGGGGAGATAAGGAAGGTGTGTGAGCCAGTCAGGCTGGGCCTTCAAGTTTACCCTCAGGTGGGGCCGGCTCCCCTGGCTTTCTCTGGAAATTCTTCGTGGTTTTTGAACAGAGGCCCCACATGTTCATTTTGTACCGGGCCCCGTGAAAGAGGGAGCTGGTCCAGCCTCAGGCAGCGAATGGCAGGTGGGGAGGCAGTGTGTAGAGGGCGCCCAGCCTCCATCTGCTCTCCCCTGTCCCGGCGACACACCTAAGCTTCTCAGCTGTGATGTTGGGGCCGACCTCACCGCAGGCCAGAGGAAGGACCTGAAAGTCAGGTCCACCAGGGGTCACATCTCCTGACGAGGCGCCAGATGGGGCCGGCGAGCTGGAGGGCTTGTGCCCTGGGGACGCTGGCCACGATGCTGAGGCCTGGCCCCCGCTCAGATGGACGTCCAACCACCACATGCATGGTTGGACAGCAAGTGGCCCCTGGGAAACATAGAGGGTACAGAGAAGGCAGCAGGCTGAGATCCCGGAGGGGCAGGGCCCTGTGGGTTCCCCTTGCTCAGGCCTTGCCCCATGGTGGCTGGGGCAGGACCCCTCCCCAAGCCCCCTGTCCCAGGTGAGCGAGAAGCCTCCTTGGCGTATGTGGGCAAGGATGAGAGACCTCACCTTTCCCCAAGCTGGCTTGCCCCTTGGTTGGGCCCCACCCTGATGGGTGAACACTCTGGCGCTCTGCCACCTTCCCCCACCCCCGGGCCTCTCTCCTGCCCCCTTTTCCTCAGGGCCCCCTCCAAGTCCCTCTGGTTGGATTTCTCAGGCTCACAGAGGGCCAAGGCTGAGCAAGATGGCCCAGGTCTCCCTTCCCTTCTTGTGGGCCCAGGAGTCAGCCCATGTCTTGCCAGGGAAGTGTCCTCCACCTCGACGGCCCAATGGCAAACGGCACACGGCCCAAGGCCCCTCGGCTTCGGGATCCAGCCCCCACAACCGCCCATCAGCCCTCACTGATTTCTGAGCCTCTGGTCTGGCCACACTCAGCAGCCGAGGACTATAAAGGGTGGAAACAGCCTCGATCCATCCCCTCTGTTTTGCTGGTGCCTCCCAGGGGAGTCCCTCAGCCCCCTGTCCCCCAGGGCCTGGTGACACTCACCGTCAGCGTGGTCAGTTCCTAGCTCTCCGAGCATGGGGGTGAGGGAGGCAGAGTCGAGGGGCAGAGGAAGGGGCTGCAGAGAGACCAAGGGTGCCCAGCAATTGGGGAGAGTAAAGGAAGCATGGAGACAAGACTCGCTTACAGGACGCGGGGCATTTCACACAGGGCCCCAGAAGCTGCCTGGGGAGCACAGACCGGACAGGGGTGCTTGAGAACGTGGCCCCAAGGCCTGCAATGAGGGTGCATCCGTGCTCTGTGACGCACCCAGAAGGTCTCCATCCAGAGACGTGGAGATGCTTAACACGGAGGCACGGGGGACAGCCTCAGAGAGCAGACAGACTCAGAGAGCAGCCAGCACAAAAGAACCTGGAGGCCAGGCCTGCGGGGGCACCCAGGCAGTGTGGGGTCTCCTGTGCAGGCGCCAGGACTCCAGACCATGTGCCGGCCCCCGCGCCCCGGCTCTGCCGTCACACGGTCCCTCTCTGTCACTCCAGTCCCTGTAACTCGACTTGCTTAACGCTTCCTGATGGCTGGGGTTGTTTTTTTTTTCTCTCCTCTTGCACCAACAGATTAAAAAACAACACCCCAACCTAAGCCCCAATATGTTCCAAACCTCAACCTGCAGGCGGAAGGGGGAAGTGAAACCCGGCTGGGGGTGGGGGCTCCGGCCCGCCGCCCGCCCAAGGAAGCGCTGAGCGGCCGCACACACGCACAGCCGAAATCGGCCCAGACGCTAGGCCGATGGCGGAGGCTCCGAGCCACCCCGACTCTGAGGAGCAGGAAGAGCTGCTGGTGGAAGAAGCCACGGGGTAGGTGCCCGTGGGGGAGGCCTCGTGCTTCGCGGTGGTCTGTTCCCAGGGAGCAGGAGTCTTTGTTTGCGTTTATACGAGGGTAACGCTTAACCCAGAGCCAATGGCGCCAAGGGGGACTTGGGTGGCACACAGGCTGCAAGGCGCCTTCCTGGGACCCTGTGTCACCACACGGAGGGGTGGGCGCCTCTTCCGTCTGCCTCTGCAGCTGGGCCTCACTGGGAGAGGCTGGGTTCTTCTCCAGCTGGTGGGATGATAACCCAGGACAAGGAGGGCTGGACACCGGATGCAGGGCCCCAGGACGTGGCCTGCATAGCTGGGGAGGAGCCCAGGCCTCGGGCAGGCAGGGCTGAAGCTGCGAGGACTGGAGGGGGGGTGCCCTGGGCCAGGAAGCCTGGCTGAGAGGGACTGCTCGGCCTTGGGACTCTTGAAGCCCGAGCTCGAGGCCCTGCTGGGCTGCCTCCCCTAGACTGCCCCTCCCATGGTGATGGAGGAGCCCGAGGATGCCCAGCAGGTGCCTGTTCTGAGTACCAGAAGGCGCTTTCGGTTGGGGATGGGATGTGAGGGGGACATGGGCAGGTGCTGCGTGTGGGTTGCCAGCAAAAAGGACCACCCGTGCCACCACAGCCAGAGCTGGGCAGAGAGACCCTGCAGGCCCAGGCCTGCTCGGGAGGCAGCTGTGCTCCATGGAGTGCTGGGCGCCTGGCCTGTGGGGAGGCAGAGGAGAAGGGTCCCTGGCTGGGGAAACGCTGTCGGCAGGCGGCATCCAAGCTGAGCTGGGGGTGGGGTGGGTTCTGACTGCCCAGGGTGCAGGTGCCAGAAGTGGTGGGTGTAGTTGGGTCTTGGGGACAGGCGAGGCTTCGAGGGGCAAACGGATGTTCTAACAGTCAGGGGTTGGGGAGCCATGTGGGGATGGAGACCACTGGCCCAGAAGGGGAACAGTGGGGCTGCTGCCCAGGCCAGCAGAAGGCAAGGACCAGGAGCCCCCGGCTGGAGCAAGAGGGGATGAGATGCCCAGAGCCAGAAGGATAGAGACGGAGCCACCAAGGGCAGGGAGGGGAGGGGACGGGAGGGTTGTATGGTCACCAGGGCCCCACAACCTCAGGGATGACTTGCAAAGTGCATTTGGACCCTGGCTCTTCTTCTGGAGGCTGGTGGCAGCCATACCTGATCCTGCGATGACGCCTTTATTGATAACGAGAGAAATGTCTGCTGTGTGTGTGCGTGTGTGAGCATGCGTGTGCATGTGCGCGTGGGGGAGGGAGGTGGATGGTCACCTTCTCCTTGCCGAATCCCCTATGGGGCCCTGGTGTGGGCCCGGGAGCTGGGCTGCTGGGGAGGCTGAGCACGGCTAGGCAGGCTGGGGTCTGAGTCCGGGTCAGGGTGTGTGTGCCAGGCCGGAGCAATGGCAGCCATGTTGCCCCTCAAGGGGTTGGATGGGACCCGTCGCCCAGCATGAGCTCATGAGGGCCGAGGAGGGATGAGAGGCCACGGCCCAGTCTGTGTGCCCCTTGGGGATCGTCACGTCCCTGGGGAGGCAGGTTGCTCTGTGCACAGAGCAGGCAACTAGGGACAGCTGTGTCCCTGCTCAGAAATGACTCCTCACGTCAGCGCCGTCCAGGCCCTGGGCTTCCCATGCTCCTCTAGCTGCTTCATGCCCATAGAAGGGCACAGCTTGAGCAGCCTGGTCGGGCACCCCCGCCTCCCTCCTTGGCCCCATCCTTGACCTCCGCTCCCAGCTGTCGCACATGCCGAGGAGAGGGAGAGGTTGGGGGAGCAGGGCACGGCCATGGCAGCAGGGGCCCAGGCGGGTGGGCGGTGGGCCGGCGCTCGGCCGACCCCTGGGTGTCTTGGTGCCTGTCCCAGGGCCGGGCTGCACCTGTGCAGGGTCTGTCAGGAGCTCGGGCAGGAGAGCTGGCCGGACACAGCCTCAGCCCCTGGAGCCTGGGTGTCCCGCGGACGTCACCCCCCGACCCGCCCATGCGGTGCGTGACACCGACCTTTCAGAATGAAACTGAGACCTCGGGCCGGGTGGGGTTTTCATTTCAGAAGGTGACTCAGGGAACCGGGGATTTTCCTGTCCAGGGTGAGTGAGAAGTCCCCGACGCCCAGGGAGAGACCTGCGGCCTGGGAAGCCCCCAGCCAGGAGCCCCGAGGAAGGCCAGGGCTCGGCAGAGTCGGCAGTGGCTGGAGGAGAGCAGGCGAGAACTGCCCCCCGGTCCCCACATGCTGCCCACGGAGCAGGGGACGTCAGGGTCTCAGGACATCACCCCCCATGCTGGGCCCAGGGCAGCCTCTGCCCCTCCAACTGGGCAAGTGCACCAACCCCTCTGATTGCTCCAGGACGGGGCCACCTCCCTCAGACTGCCCCAGGATTGGGCCAACACCCTCACATTGGGCCCTAGGATGGGATTGTCCCCAAACAACAGGCTCTCGACAGGCCTTGGTTCCCCTCTCCGCCCATGTGCAGGCTGGGCTGCACCCCCTCCCTCCCTCAGGGTTGGGGTGCTCTCTCCTTGCCTGACTGCCCAGCTGTGGGATCCCACAGAGTGGGGCCAGGGCCATGAGTTCTGGCACGTCTCTGTGGGGCTTCTCTGGTAGAGGTGAGACGTGGCCCCATCCGCAGTCTTTCCCCCGTGGGGAGCAACGGGCCTCGGACCCCAAGGGGCGGTGGGGCAGAGCCCCCACCCAATGCACTGAGGTGGAGGACGCCCTCAGGGAGCCCGAGTTCCACATGTCCAAATCCTGGACCCCCAACTCCTTGGAGGGCCCATGTGCACCCTGACCCTCACCAGGGCCAGACCCGGCTGGGCTGGGTCCTCCCTGTGCCCCCACCCACTTGACAGAAGTCCTGCTGCTCCACCTGCAGATGGGCTTGCCCTGCTCCCTTGGGCCTCGCCCCTGCCACAGCCCAGCCCCCTCCCGCCCCACTGGTTGATGGGGATGACCTCACTCGGTGGTCTCCATGCCCCAGCCCTCCACACTCTTTCTCCGTGAAGACATTGGACTGTGTCCTCCCATGCATGGGACCATTCACCACCAAGTGGCAAGGCCACACCCCCAGGCGTCCACTCCAGTCCTGCCCCAGCCACATAGATCTCACTTCCCCACAATGGTCTGGCATTCCCAGCTCTTCCCAGTCCTAGAAGGTGCCAGAATCACTGCAGGCTTTGCATAGACCTTTCCCAGCCCGCCCCAGCCACCCCGCCCCCTCTCCAGTCTTCCTAACCCTCGTCTAGCCCACCCAAGATGGCCACTGCCTTGGGCTCCCTTAGCATCTGCTGCTGCCCATCGTTAGAGCCGGTCCTGGATGACTCCCGGTGCTGCCCTGAACCCTCACCCCATGCAGACTCCTGGCTCTGGAAGTGCTGCGTGCTCTGTCCTGCTCCCTGCCACTCAGCAGCCTAATTTTACCAGGGCACTTCTTCCTGTCTTTCTTCTTTAATCATGTATTCCTGTTGCTAATTTCATGTCAATTCCCTGATTTTAAAATGAATAAATCATTTTCTTAAAAAAAAAAACAAAAGGTCGTGCCCTGGTCCTGCCCTCCCCCCGGGAGAGGCTTGGCTACTCCGACCTTGGAGGACCCTGATTGGTCAGGAGTCGGGTGAGCGGTCATCTCCTGTCCCCAGGCCTCTAACTGCCCCCTCGGCTGCCGGGCAGGGCATGGCCCCGGTCACAGGAGGTTCAGGGACACTGCCTCAACTGCTTCTCCGTGTGCCCAGCTAAGAGGGGAGAAAGGCAGGGACCACCTGCGGGTCTACCCCGGGCAGGGTCTCTTTCTGGCCTCCTGACCCTGCAGACCCTTGGCCTTGTCCTCTGGGCTCCAGGGTCTTCAAGAGAGAGGCCCCAGGTCCCTGCCGGGCTGTGGGCAGCTGGGGAAAGGCCAAGCCAGCCTGGAGGCCTTGGGCGCCCTGAGAACCCTCATCCTCCTGTCCCCCTGAGAGAGCTGACGGTGGGAGGAGCCTGTGGCATGGGAGGGGTGGGACCCCACGGGTTGGAACCCCCCTGCAGCCAGGCTCCTGGGTGGCCCTCCCACACATTTGCCTTCCCAGCAGGGCCAGACTCCACCTGGTACTGCCAGGGCACTCAGCCCGGAGCAGCGGGCAGTGCCAGAGGCCACTCAGGAGGGAGGGCGGACGCGGGCAGAGTCGGGCCCTGGCCCCAGCCAGCAGCAGGCTGTTAGGGTGGAGGAATTAGGGGGCCGCACCCAGGGTCCAGACCTGAAGGCGGCAGTCAGAGCTGGGTCAGGCCTCAGGATCCCCCTGGGGCCTCCTTTTCTCCTCCCCCCAGGTCAGGGGTCTCTGGCGCCCGGAAATGTCCCAGGGGAGGGGGAGGCTGAGCTCAGCCCAGATGATGGATGCCTTCCTCTTGGCCGAGGTCGCCGGCTTCCTCCCGCCTTGCATCTGGACCCTCTCACGGTCCCTCGTTGGGTGGGGGAGAGGGAGAGGAAGCCTCACACACACTCGGGGTATCGCAGACCCCCACCCCTGCTGGCTGGGGAAGCTGGAAATCCTTCCCCTCACCCCCACTCCCTGCCTGGTCCCCAAACGCCTCCTCACAAAACAATCCTAGAGCCACCTGGGGCAGAGCCAGGAGGGTCTCAGGGACCAGGAGCAGGCAGCGGCTTCTCTCTCCTCCACAATGCACTCCTCCGCCTGCCTCCACCTCAGTTTCCCTCAGAGGGTGCCAGAGCACTGGGTGAGCCCTCAGTTGGGAAGATGAGGGTCCTGGCAGCAGGAAGAGGCCCCTCGGAGTCCTCGGTCGGCAGGAGTGGGGCCGTGAACATCGGCTTCACTCTCCTGGGCTCTGGGCTCTGAGCGTCGGGGGAGGAGGAGGATGGGGTACAGAGACCCAGGGGGCATGTCCAACCTCGGCGGCTGATGCCCAGACTAACACTTTCTGGGGTGAGCAAGCCCCGCCCCCGAGGCCTCAGTTTCCCCTTCTGCAAGGTTGGAGTCAGTCATAGCTACTCTGACTGCACGTCACTCCACCGTGCC